TTAGAGTTATTTATCCCCTCTTTTTACTTATTTATTAGGTTGTTTCTTCTTCTTTTTCATTGATTTTAGAGAGGATGGGAGAGGGAAAGAGAGAGAGAAACATCAATGTGAGAGGGCAACACTGATCGGCTGCTTCCCCCATGCTTACCAACCAGGGTTTGAACCCAAAACCTGAGCATATGCCCTGACCTGGAATTCACACTTCTGTGCACAGACGATGCTCCAACCAACTGAGCCACACCAGTTTCTAAGCACCATGGAAACACTGAATGTATGGGTTGTGTTTACTGGAGTCTACAGAGCTCCACTGGAAAGCCTAGAAGTCTCTGCTTATCACCCTGCAGTCTTTTTAGCCAAATATCCTAGAACCTACGCAATGTTGACAGTAATAGGTGGTCTAATTTTAAATGCAAGCTGTAGGCCAATATTACTTTAAACTTGAACATAATCATAAGGAAGTGGAAGTGAGAGGAGAATATGTCCCTGTTTTGCTGAAGAGGGAGAAGAGGCTTTGCTTCTCTGAAACACTGTTTTCCCAATAATGCTAGAATGTTCTGTAATCAGGATGTCTCCTGCTAATTTCTCTACTTTTGTGGCAGGTCTTTATTTATTGCCTTTATTTTGTAGACATAATTTTATTTAAGTATGAAAGGTGGTGAGAAGTTAAATCCCCAAGGTTAATTATCTCTAAAAAGGATAATATATCTAAAGAAGAGAAGTTGATATTTCTAAAGAATCAATGTACTTACTACAAAATACTTAATAAAGACATTTTTTTCTCTTATGATTGTGCCCTTTTTATTACATTTTTGAGTGCTTTGTAATTGAAGACAGTGTTAAATTATATTAACAATGATGAGTCCTGACATCAGGACTTTATGATCTTTGAACAAGCTAAATTACATATCTGATTCTCTCTTACTATCTATAAACAGAGAAACTAAGAATAAATCATCTGTAAAGTTTTTTAAAGTTTCTACAATTGTTCATAGACTTGAACTTAGAAAATACATTTAATAATAGTTCCTGTGAAACAATAAAAATACATATGGTTTTTAAGAAAATGATACATGTCTCCCCCCTAAAAGTAAAAATCTTATTTATGCCATCATGTGGCCATTAAAGACAACCAAAAAATAAAAATCATTTTTATCTTAATGAAGCAACTTATATAATGTAGCAGCATGTTTATAAAATGTCATATATTTCATTTCCATAAGGCAGGATATACTAACATACAGAACAAAATATAGCCCGTCCTTTAATTTGAAGAATAGTAGGAAGAAAATTATCATTTGGAGAAAGTAATGTACATCCTGTCTAAATATATTACTTGACTTTATTTTAAAATTTAAAATACTGTGCAAAAAATATAGGAAACAGTAGCACTTGGTAACTTTAACACACATTTTTTTCAGTTCATTCAAAAATATTTAAAGAAGACTTATTATGTCCCAATAACTCTACTAGATACTGGGAATAACACAGTGAAAAAAAACTGACATTCTAGGTTGTGCAATGGTAATGTAGGGGGTTTGAAAGTGGAAAGATAGACAGAAAATAAAGAAGCAAATTGATAGTTTGTCTGAGAATTTACAGGGACTAGGAAGGGCAGGGGGAGAAGGGTTTGTCTTACTGATGAGATAAAATTTGAGTAAAGACTTGAAGAAAGTGAGTGAGAAAGCTCTGTGGGCAAAGGGAACAAAAACCTAGGACAGACACTTGCTTGGCAGCCAGAGTGAAGTAAGTATTCAGAAGTGTGTGTGTGTGTGTGTGTGTGTGTGTGTGTGTGTGTGCGCGCGCGCGCGTGCGTGCTCATAGGAGTGTCATTCATGAAGGACTGTATAAGAATGACACTATAAAGACCACTATAAGAAGTTTGGGGAGACATGAGAAGTCATTGGAGGGTTATGAGAGAGAAGTGACACAATAAATTTATGCTAAATAGAATCGCTGTGGCTGTTGTATTGAGAAAAGACTATGTAGGAGCAAGGGCTGGGAAATTAGGGAACCAAATTATAAGCATGTTGCAGTTAAAAAGGTTAAAGGTAGTGACACAGAAGACGTGGTGGTAAGTAGTTGGTTTAGAATCAAGGGGATTTCTGATGGATTAGATGGAAGTTGAGAGAGAAAGAGAGGACTCAAAACTGACTTTAGGTTTTTGATCTGAGCATCTGGAAGACTGGAGTTGCAATGGGGTGACCTCAGTAGAGGAAGTTTGAAGTCATTTGAAGTATCTATTAGTCTAGAAAGATAATAAAGTATAAACATCCAATCATGATTTTAATTTCTGTACTGAATACAATAAATATTTTTGAAAAGAACATTGAATTAGCTAATGCTTTCTAGTTTTTGGTGTCTTCTAATATTTTTATGTCATTTTTTGTTTGTTAGATATTCTAATAACATATGCTCATACCATCTGAGGATTCTTGGAAAATTCTTCTCTGGCATGAAACTCATGTCGTTTTTATTTCTCTTGTATTTTTGCTATGACCATAATGAACTTTCAGATATTTAAAATACTGCTGAAATGTGTCAAATTCAGTTTTGATAGAGTAACCATTTTTTTTAAAAAATTGTCTTTGACCATTTTCTAGATAACATGTATTTTGTTTGACAAATTCACAATAAATGGAATATATTGTATTAAAGAGTCCTTGAGTGGTTAAGCTTTATAAGTTGAAGGACAAATGTGCAGGGACATTTTACTTTAATTTAGTGAGACAAGAGGAAAGGGGGAGAAAAAGAGAGTCCTCAGGTGACTTGTGAGGACACTGTCAATTTAAGGCAGTGGTTCCCTACCTCTGGGGTGTCAGTTTCCATATAAATTTGCTGTAAACAATGGATTCTCTACCAAAAAGAAATGCCCAACACTCAAACTTTTGCTTGTAATTTTAAAAGATTTGGGGATACTCAGAGACCACAAGATGAGGAATGTCTACACTTTTTGTTGTTGTTTTTTTGAACTTTGCAACAGGTCTTTATTTTTGCTTTATTTCTATTACAGTGTTTGAAACCTAAAGAAATACATTTTCTCTTCAAATTTGGATGTATATATAAATTTATTTGTCTAGACTCAGCACAATCAATGCCACGGTTTCTTGGCCTATGTCTACTCTGAAACCTTGCTTTGTTGACTACCCAGGGCCCCTGAGAACATAGAAAATAGCCAGAGTTTACAGTTCTTGGAAAACTAAAAGCAAATGAACTTAGAAAGGAAAATCAGTGAAAAAAGAATTTGGTTCACCTTCCCAGGGTCTGTAGCTAGGAACCCAAGCTGCCTTTGAGGGACATCCCGTTTGTTTTGGGAGCTGGGACCTCACAGGTCTTCAGTTGTTCATTCAAAGGCAGTTCCCACAAAACTTGGCTAATGACAACCCTCATGCCCTGTAGTTGGGTACTGGCTCTTTTAGGAATGTCTGCACTTTGAAAAGTACACCTGAAGTACTCCAGGTTGTAGAATTCTTCCTTAGAGTTTTACCAGTATAAAGCCAAAGAAATAATGCTAATGCTAGCCGGAAAATCATACAAGATTTTACTGGCTTTCCAGAGCTTTTTAAGAAAAGATGAGAGCCAAAAATATGGCAAGATGCTTCTTCCATCCCCCCTCCCCAATTTCTCTTAGCTGCTGAATGTATTTATTAATGACTAAAATACATATGTAGAGCTACTTTAAGGGCATTTTAAATGATGTGAAATACTAAAAGTTATTAGCTCAATTCTCACTGATAGAGTTTTCTTCTTTTTAGTATCTTCTACTCATTCATTTTGCACAAAGGGCTTTAAGATGGAAATATAATGCGTGAAGTTAGCCTAACATGACTGTGCTCCTTGAGCCATAACTTAACGGCAAATGGTATCGAACAGATTAATGAAAAGAAAAGTTTCATGGATGTGTACTGAGTTCATCCCCTTAGTAAGGAAATTTTTAGATATTCTAGCATAGCAGTGAATCATCTTTTAAAATTAAAATGGTAATAGTGACCTAACATTTTTAAATGTAGGAGAAAAAAATCAAGACTTATACTCTCCACCCTTTGCCTACAATTCTGTACAGCATAAGTGACAAGCCACCGTCTCTAGAGTGAAAAGGACTGCATGGTTTATGTGAGACAAAGATAGTTGTTAAGGATTGAGTTTCCAACTTTAACTCTGGAACCAATATGATCGTTAAACACTCAGCCTGTGAGAGGACTGATTACCACCTAAACAGAATCTTCTTAAATGATTCAATTGTTGCAGTTTAGCTTCATCATCTTGCTCCCTGCCATACCTAGTTTGATGCTTCTGATTTCAGGTCCTTTAAATTGAATTTTCAAATTCTTCTCCTCTTTTCTTTTGTTTAAATGTGATGCTTTTACAACAACTCTGTAAGTCAAGGTCCAGTTTATTGGGTTTTTTTTTCTGGTACAAAACTTGGAACTTATTGTGTATGATGAATTCATTGCTCAGAAATAATTCAATGTGTGGCCTGCTGTTGACAAAGAAATTCAACATGTTTCCATGAAGGTCCAGTAGAAACAGAGTGAGTTTATAAAATGATTCTATTTCATAATGAAGATATTTTATAAGGCATTTACATTGTCTCTCTTTCAATCACTATGAAAATAAAAAATAAAAATACCCCTCCCCACAACTAATCCTATGACATGAGGGCAATAAAGAGGTGTGTTTTTTTTAAGCAAACACTTTTTTTTAAAGTTTTTCAAATGTTTAATAACAGTTTGCTGTTATTCATATTTTTATGTGCTTTTGATCAGATACAAATTTTGTAGGGAAATAAGCAAACATTCCTAAAAATGAATTATAAACAACTGTGTTTTAGAATACTAAAAGGATTTTAAAACTTTCAATTCAGCAAAGTTAATCTTTTTCCTTAATTGAAATAATGGAAAAACAAAAGTGTAGACACTTCCATGGCTTGGGGGGAAGTGGTCTTCATGCCCCCAAAGTCATGTTCCTCAGCAGCCACTGCTGGGACCTGCTGCCACTGCAGTCCTGCATGGTAGGCACCATTTTGTCTTCTTCAGAAGGTTCATCGAGACACTGGTTACTGTTCACATGTCTCAAGGTGAGTCTCTGGAAAAGATAACCCACAGTCAGTGCAACATATTGTATCTTTAACTTCACTAGCACATCACATTAAATCTTCCCTTTAAGAGACCTTTATGATTTTCTTTTTAGTATAAACACTGTGATATGTTTATAGAAGGAACTGTGCACAGGTGGTTGTGAATTAATTATTATACAGCTTTCCCTGTCAGGGTTTCATCACTGTCTAATACACCTTTATTTGCAGATGGTTAAAGAAATTAGCCAACATGTGTTCCACATTGCCAAGAATTCGGGCTCCTTTGCAAAAAGCCCATTTGTGAGCTCCGAGTTCAGTCCAGGGCTGTAAATATTAACAAGCTTTCACAAAAGCTTAGTTATCTTAGGCATGTGTTATTCAGTAACCATTTGGTAAACATGCAAAGAGATGTCACAGCTGTGACCCAAATGAGAAAACTGCTAGAGATGTTTCCAAATACTAAACAGGCCATACTATCTGTGACTGAGAAATTCATTGTATTTGAGTGATTATCACAGTGAAGATCTGTCTTACTTGATAGTATGCTCGCCATAATTTAGTTTGCATGTCTGAGAATCTTTAAAAAATGTAATACCAAATTAAATCAGGGATGTGACTGTCACATATTTTTAAATTTATATCTATATTTTATTTTCCTTATAATGATATTCATTACTAAGCATCATCTCAGTACCCAAATGCTAAAATGTAATTTCAAAAATTGCATCATGTTAACTGTCATTATACATGTTCCCTTTTGAGTTCACATTTACATTTTGAAATTATGTATTTTGGACTTTACAGATATACATTTTAAGTCCACATGCTTTATACTAACTTATGCTCACTAATGTACATGTTTGCTCAGTTTCATGGGCAATGCCTAGAACCATACTACATAAAAAACTTCCAAGAAGAGAAGTGCTTCAATGCATGGGAGGTGATTTGCAGATATATCTTGCTTTGAATCACCAAAATTAAATGTAGATTTTTTTTCTGGCTCATACTATTACAATTGAAAGTTGTATGAAAATAATGCAGGGAGGATGCAATAAAAATGGTGGAGAAACACTGCCTAGACAATCGTAATTTGTTTGGATTAGACCTGCAAACAGCCTGGACCTCACCGTCCTAAGAAAAGATGGAATGGAAAATAGGCTTGTGGTGGAGGATGCTTAATAGACAACAAGCAGGAAATTAAAAAAGCAAGGTTGTCAGATACGAAGATTTGAAGACTGAGGCCTTTGTTGATGCTCTTCCAATACACAGAACCAAGCTATTTATACTAAAGAATGAAGAAAAAATGAACAAACATAGGCAAGAAGGTAGTTGATTTATGCTTATGATGCCAGAAATTGTATTGTTGGTTTATGAACCAACAGCCAACTTGAAAAAAATTCAAAACAAAACAATTTTTTTCTAGCAAGCTCTAGTTAAAATCAACAAAATACTCATTTTTGTTACATACCTGAGATCCTCTGTGTATATAGTCCTTTTAAAGGGATACTTTTAAAAATATTAGTAAGTGTTGTTCTGTTTAAAAATGTATGTTTTCTTTGAAGGAATTCATTAGTAGTCAAAAATCACAACTATAGAGATAACAACCACCCAAACAAAACTCTCATTTTTAATGATGTACAGTAGAAATTGCAGACATGTTAGGGTCAGGCAGCCCTAAGTGTAAATTCCCACCCTTCCGCCCTCATTTACTGGCTGTGAAAACTTGAGCAATTTTTAAAATTATTCTGAGCAATCAGATTCTTTGTGAGAAGATGCTCATTTAAACTTATGAATACTTAAAAATGCCCTTTTCTTTTCTGATTAAAAAATTTGACCTCAGTCAACTATCTTAACTGTGACCCCTTGGCAACCTGATAATAGTAAAATGTTAACTATGTTTCTAGGCAACATTACCTATGGTAAAAATGACCTATGATTGATAAACTGCATCTGCATCTAATCAACTTCAGTGAAAAAACCTCATGGGGAGCCAAACTGGGCTTCTCTAAGTGCAAAGACTTGGAGTTTTGCATGTTCCATTGGTTTACTTGAAGCTCTGCCTATGGAATTATTATAGAGACACTGTCTTCTGAGAGGCATACGGCTATGAAGCCAGGCTGTTTTCCACACCCACCTGATGTGGCTCTCATCCCCCTTGCACAGGGCTGCCAGCTCCCATAAAGCAGTATGAATTGCGATGGGAAATGAGACAAATTCTGCTGAGAAACAAGTTTTAGTTTCTACCCTAGAATTCTGTCCCTTGTTGGGTATTGTATCTACCAGTTAAGGTTGCTTTAAAAACAAGCTAAGATAATATATGTAAATTGCTCTATACATAAGTTACCATTGTGTAAAAGAACCAGACTTTTCCAGCTTCCCAACACATGTTTAGAATGCCCTAGTCTCAAATGTAGTTCTAACCTAAACAACACTCTTCTCTCCTCTCCTCTCCCTACCTCCATTCCCAGCCTTGTCATAAGTATTCCAAACTCAATTCCAACCTTTAATGGTTCATCTGAACCAGAAAAACTCCCTCCCTAACTTCTGATGTGTTTTCATAGCAAGGTATTGGAAAATATAATATACTTTATTTACTGGAAAATGAACACCTAAGACCAATTGCACTCTTTACAAGAATTCCATATCAGTACTTTTTTTAGCATAAGCTGAATAATGATTCATTTTATTGCTTTCTGAGAAGATATTCACAAATCATGCAAGTGACAGAGAAAATGTACATTTTTATAAGCTTTATTATTATAATTATATCATTTAACCAATAATCTTAGTCTTTAATAATGCATTTGCTTAGTATCAGCTTAAAGTAATAAATTCCAGAAAGGATATGGTGTATCTACACACAACCAAAGTATCTGAATTGAAATTAATAACATTAAATAATTTCAATGTTCCAAACGAAATATTTTGGCTATCTTAATTTTCATGTTTTTAATTTTCTTAACGGGTTTTCAGCTCTAATGCTGAAATCTATTGTCATATAGACATGACTATAGTTAGCCTTAAAAAAGAGCTAATATGTCATAATACATTCCATCAATTATATTTAGGAGTATCAATTTAAAATAAAGGAAAAAAAACTAGCAAATACCTACTAATTAATTACAGACTAAACACTACTAAATATATGCAGCTCAGAAGTATAAGACAGAAAAATAACTCCATGGAGAAATAGCAGATAAAGATTATCCTTAACCACATATTAGAGAAGTAAATTTCAAGATTTTGATAACAAAAATACTGAACTAATATTAGTAAAGTCTGCAACACAAACCTCCAAAAATTATTAGAGAACGTAATCAGTAGGATTCTCAAAAATATTTCTAAAAACTTCCGTTCTTGTATAGTTTCTTAGTAGCCATTTTTGCAAAGGGCTATCATTACATATTTCCACAGTGGGCTGTTGGGAGCCACCAGTTACTTTTCTTACTGAGAGACAGGACTGGGTGATTATGTGAAGAAGAGTGTGGGTCTGTTTGACAAAGAAAATAATGAATAATGACAAAATCAAATACAAAGGCAGTAACCAATCAATCATTCTCTACAACATACAATTTCTACTGGGTAAGAATGGAAGGCGCATGTCACAATAATCACATCCACGGAGCTGTGAGCCACATCCTTTCACACGGCTTCCATATCAAGTGTATTGGCAGGAGCAAATGAAGATGGGACTAAGAATATGGAGCAGAGCCTGAGATCAAATGCTGAAAAACTTGGGTAGAAAAGGTTGTATTCACAGTGTCCATTCTAGTAATTAAATGTTTTTAGTGCCACATGCATTATTTTGTCAGTATGGATATTCAAAACCATTGACTAGTCCACAGAGTTTTCAATCATGGTCTTTGGCGTCCTCTCTCCTTTGCCCTAAACTTCAGTGGATGCCAGGAGAAAATCTAAGGGATAAATGAGCTATAAGGCTTTGCTTTACTTTGTACTCAAACTGTTTCCACTATGTCTTCACAGGGCTAACCTGGTGGTGTTAAAAATGTCCCACATACATATTATCACATTCATCTAAATACCAATTAGGAAGTTAATGAAGGAAGGAAAAAGAAAAAATATCAAGTCCATTTTGGGCTCTTAATTTGACTTCATTCTCCAAACACAATTTGTAATTAATTTGTCTGTTTCTTATTTTCCTTCTATTTTCTCAGAAGGAGCCTACTCCAGGAAGGCCAGGGATCATGACAACCTACATCATCAAACCCAGTGCGGCTCATAGGAGGCACTCATAGGTTTGTTGATTAAACCACTTAGTAAAGGGCTAATGCAGAAAAATATATTTTGATAAAATTAACTACATATTTTGGGCAGCTTAATGGACACAAATTATTGGATTTTCAATTTCAAGGACTGACATCCTACAGTAAAATGGTAAATTAAAGATTTATAAAAGTAGGAAAGGTAACATTATCACATATAATACATTTTTATTGGTAAAACAGCAATTAAGTATATAGTTTGATTTGTTAAAGAGACTAGTTTGGGGATTTTTCAAAAAACCAAACTTGAATTTCCTATCTATATTGTTATTTTCTATCTATATTATTTAAAATTTCTAATTTGATAATCCTCTAGCCTCAGTGATTTTTTTGTTTTGCAATGAACTTTTCTTAGTAAATTTCATGTTGACATCAAAGACCTCAGTGTTAGTGATTCTGAACTTCATGTGTCAGTAAAAAAATAATAAATTATAAACTTTTCCTTGGTTTGAAAATAAAAACAAAACTTGATTTTACTTATGCTCAGGAAATATAACTCCAGAACATGAATACAGTATAAAATTTTCCATAAAAAAATACATTTGTAATATTTTGACCCAAAATGTTTATCACATGAATGACTATTAAAAAATTCAAAGAATTTTCACTACAGGTACTTTAAAAATGCCTAAGTACAACCTAGGTACTTCTAAGAAAAATTAGAAATCTAAACAACTCCATTGAGATAAAAATAATTTTCTATTTAAAAAACATTTGGTGCTTTCATTTGTTTGAAAAATAACAATTTATTTTGCCTAGAAGAGATACCAATTATTATTTTATGTTTTCTAGCAAGTAATTTATATCACTTACATTCTGCAATTTTATGTAATAGAGGTCATCTAACTAAACACCCTTCAATTTATATTGTGGGCATCTCTTTTATCATTAAAATAATCTTAAAAACACAGAAAATAAACAATTCTACAAAGTAGATTTGCCAAAAGTCATTTAACTTTTTCATTTGGGGGCAATCTCTGTCCAGTTTGGAGCTATTGTAAAGAATGCTGTGATTAATATCGCCCAGCATGTCTCTCCACATTATAATCTTTTCTTTAGAAATAATTATTACAAGTAAAATTACAAGGTCAAAAGTATAAACATTTTAATACTTATTAGCAAGTTTTAAAAAATATCTATAATAATTATTCAATAATAGCAGCAACAGCTAATATTTTTTACGCTTATTATATGCCAGGATAGTGGTTGTCAGTTTTACTGCATCTACAGCAACATTGTGTGTTGTCATTAAAAACATTGCTTGACAGATTGACAGGAACATAAAAATATGAATAAAAAAACACCCATCAGATTTTTATGTGTTTTTGATAGTCCCTTAAATTAATGTTTTTCATTTTTATTGGCTATTCATATTTTCCTTTGCTATTTATTCAAGATCTTGTATCTTTTCATATTGGGTGTACATTTTTTTTCTTAAAATTGTTCTTTGTTATATTAGTTGCAAATGCCTCTCACGGCTTTAGAAGATTCAGTCATGTTAACTCAGCTTTGAAGGCAATGTGATATCAGGCTGACATGCAGCATACTATCAAATTTCTCTTCCTATAGCCTTATTTAACATTGACTAGAAAACAGGGTAATATGATCACTAATCTATTATAGCACTACTCAATTTTTCTCCTCTGAAGTAAAAGAATTAGTATTTCCTGGGATTTACAAAATTTTAATCATTGTATTTTAAAATGCATAAGAAAAAGTGAATACTTCTTGCCTTTAAACTTATTTGTATGTCTGCACCTAAAACAAGATATGTCATGGAGTTTCCTTGCATCAACTCTGTTGAAGATATAATTACTACTGAAAACCACCTGAAACAGGCTAGCAAAACAATTTCAGAGACAAAATAGTCATAAATTATAAAATGAGACCTTTGTACCTTTGTATTAAAATAATCAAGTAAAAATTTTGAAATTTTAATGAACAAACAGAAGTGACTGTATGGCTGACTGAAGAACCAATCATACAGGTCTCAGTTTAAAAGATGCCATACTAAAAGTTTAAAATTAAACCTAAATGATTATACATAGAAATAAACAAAGTAAGATTAATTTATACTCTTACAGATATTTAATTTAATATTATTATTGTAAATACAATAGGATTTCCCCCATTGATCAAGTACAGAATAACGGTCATTTAAAATTAATATCATAGAGTTGTTATTCAAAATGTTAAATGTGATCTCCAGATAAAGTGACCTGTGCATTTGTTAAAACAGAATGAGTAGTTTAGTAAACCAGTAAAATGTTTAATAAACAAGAACTAAAATTGCAATACTAAACTATTAAATTTCCTATTCACTAATTTATTCTACATAAGAAATCACAGCTATGGGTCAATAGGGATATGGAAAGGTAACACTTGTCTGATACAGGCAGCCTTCGAAAAGCAAATCAAGCAACTATTTTTCTTAGGAGTGCTACACAGGGAAATGTCTGGGTTGCCAGTTAATAGATCACTTACCTTGAAATTATATTCCCATTTACCTGCTTTCTGATAAGGTAAATAAGAGAGGTAATAAGTAAAGTCTACATATTAGCTGCTGTGATTTTGGTAAATACCAATTCAACATATTTTACCTACTAAAAAAAATTCCTTGCATTATGACTCTGAAACACTTGATACAGAAGGATATTGAATTCATAACAATATTTTCTCAGTCAACTTGCTCAGTCACATGAAAAACAAGACTTATTTTTAGCATCATATTTTGCTCCCCTTTTTATTTTGTTGCATAGTGTTTGTTGAGCAAAAGTGTTCTGTTCCAAAATTAGACTGTCACACTGTATGTAGCTGCCTGGATGCTCAAAAGGAACTGTGATTATGTGCACTTACTGCAGGAAAATGAGAATTTCTAATGGATTGAAACATGATTGCAATGTTCAAATGCAATAAAAGAAAACCTGAATTAAATAGAATGGATGAATGACAGACCCTTATGAAAATAATTTTTAAAGTGGTTCAGTGAGATGAAATGTAGGGTTCCCCCTCCCTTTTTGACTTAACTCTGAGTCAATGGGTTTTCATAGCACCAAAGTGTTCAGGTAATTTATTTAAGTGATGCTAGATCAGGTGAGGACTTTGCAGATTTGCTAATGATGCTCGGTTGCCCCTAAATCAAACATGTTTAGCCAGGAAAGGTGATATTGAGTTAAATTCATGGTTGTGTTATTTAAGAAATATTTCAATAAGAAAATAGGGCACTATATTTTTAATCAAAGTTAACCAAAGACATATATTGCTTAACAACATATACTTTATTTCACTCAAATAAAAGCAGAAGCAATTAGATATGAATTGTATTATGAATATGGATAGATAGATAAAGTCTAAGCAATTAGGCCCTACTGACAAAGTAGTTTTATGACTGTTTGTCTCAATAGACAATGCTTATAGCAGAACATCTTTCCAATGATTAAGGAGAAATTCTATGTTAATAAAATTTGGTAACACAAATAATGGATAGTATTTCTTTCTTTCTTTTATAATACTGTACATTTAACTCATCAGATCATAATCATTGAAAGCATCTAATTGTTTCTAGTTTTTCAATGACCTCAAGAAGAATGTGGAAAGAATGCTCAATTAAGTGCTAGAAACCTGGAGTGTGCAAACCCAGAGAAGACATTTAAATACTTTAAGCTTATGTTTACTAATGTGAAGTATACAAGTAAAATATTATTATCTTACTAGAGGCCCGATGCACAAAATTCATGCAAGAGTAGGCCTTCCTTCTCCCGGCTGCAGGCACCGGCTTCCCTCTGGTACCTGGGACCTGGGCTTCCCTCTGGCCGCCAGTAGGCACCCAGGACCCGGGCTTACCTCACAGCCCCAGCTTCGTCCAGAAGGTCATCCAGAAGGAGGTCTGGTCTAATTAGCATATTATGTTTTTGTTATTATAAATAGGACTATCATTAGAATTGTATGAGAAAAGAGATTATAGACACTCAATACTTTATTCCCTTCCACTCCCTTCCACCTGCCCATCTAAAAAGTAAACAAACCAAAGCCGCTAATAGACTCCATGTTTTGAGGCCTTATGACACAGTTTCCATTTTTCTCTGGATATTCTCACAATTCTGTTCTTATTTATGACTTACTTTTCTAAGACTGAAAGGATTCCAGGAGATAAGGTGATGGAATATTTCAGCTGTTCACACTGTGAGATTCACAATTGCAGTGATAACTAGCTTTCTTTGAATACTTTATTAGGACCTAATTCTGCCTCCGCTGCTGGTGGGGTGATCTTTGTGCTTTAGAGTTCTGCTGATAAAGGCTCAAAGAAGAGAACTTTAAGGGAAGTTTCAGCTCTATAATTATGTGAACACCACCAAGTTTTATTCTACTTTGAAACTGCACCACCTCAGAGGTTTCTCAAAGAAGAATAATTTTGCCTTTGACAGCAATAGATAAAGAATAAATTAAAGAAGTGGCAAGCAGCACTTGTCTACTTTTCACTGGTAGGAATATGAAAAGACTAGAAATACTTGGCAGTTACTCCTCTCTCCTGACTTTGCGCCTCTCACCTTCTGCTCCTGTTCCCTCCCCCTTCTCTCCTGGAAGCCTTGTCATTTTCCAAAGTATATATGCCGTTTCCCAACTTTGCAATATTTTTCAACAGTGTATAAAAAGACTAAGGAAGATTAGTAGATATTCGGCCACTGTGTAGACCTGTCCTTGTTAAACTTTAATATGTATGTGAATGCCTTGGGGATTTTGTTGAAGTACAGACTCTGATTTAGTGTGTCCAGGGTGATACCTGAGATTCCTAACTTCTATCAAGTTCCCAGGTGCTGTTAACTAGTCCTAGAATCACACATTGGGTAGCAAAGATGGGGACCATTCCATAGACTAAAGTGGCCCTAAACCTAAAACTTAAAAGAAGAAATGATCATAAAAAGTAAATATATTCCAATTTTTTAAAAGTCGTTTCCATTTTTCTTACTTTTCACAAAAAAATATGTCTTTTATTTCAAAACTGAAATGTCCAGAAAGGCAATGCATCATTCCTACAGGTATTCTATTGTGTTGTGACTTCTCTATATTCTGATTTATACATTTATAAATTTGGCAAAAAATTTACATTATGATTTAAAAATTTAGACAAGTTGAATATCACAATTTAATTTTGAAAACATAATCATGTAAGGCAACTGTTATATAATTATGAAGGTGATTAGATAATTTAAAAATAAACATTTCTTAATACTATTTAAGACATAGTATAAGCTTTATTTGTATGTGTTGTAGAAACAAAATTTTCATGATACAAAATAGTACAATAAACTAAAACTACTGCAAGAAATAATGCTGGCTTATCCAATTAGTAAATTTACAAAAACCATTTCTTTATCTTATATGAGGCTACCAATTTTTTTTTCACTTTTCTTTCAAAATCCCTTAGTATTCAATAATCTTCCTGCTGGCTGATAGAAATACAAATGAAAACATATGCCTAATTAGCAACAACAGTTATTTCAGAAATGAAGAAACTTGAGTCATGACTATAAAAGCCATTATCCACTCAAAAATTATGGAGACGTTTAAAGATTGAGTGGTATTCTAAAATTCAACAACATTCCATCTTATTAAAAATATGCACATTTTTCCCCCTTTTCTTAAAAATATATGCTAGATTTCTTTACTTTAGCACACGCCCAATAAAGTCCTAGGATCTTAGTGAAAACTAAAGTGCAACAATAACAACAAAAAGTTTGATTTAAAAAAATACTTCTTTCGGGATTTCTCCTTTTTCTGTACATTTATCTACACTTCTCCTAATAGAAGAGGTAGGGAACTGACTAAAGAAAGGTTCAAACTTACTCACATGTATTATTAGAGGAAATGTCTTCTGTAGCCTTAATATAAAGGGTGGTGATGACAATAGTTGAAGAGAAAAATAATGGTGGTCAGATAAAGAAGATGAATAAGTATTGAGAGGACCAAAGAGTCTGGATGAAACACAGTGATGCAACACAGGCAGGATTCATGGTGTTTACCTTAATTATATCCCAGAAACTTGGTAATATTATATAAATCTTAGGGACAAACTTTAACCCTATGTAACTAGCTTCAAATCATGTAAGAATTCAGTAAGTTTTTCTGATATCCCACTTAAGAAATTACAACATCATGCCAATTAAAATGACATTCAAAGAGTTTTTAAAAAGAAGACATTCAAAGAGTTTTTAAAAAGAAGACCTTGTTAAAATATCAATAATACCAACAAATCTGCAGATTAGTTTTTAAAATGTTACTCTTGCAGGGTATTTTAAGCTTTCATAGAAGACTGCATTTGTGAAATTCATTTACCTCTATTGTATTATTTATCATGTAAGAATGAGGTTTACTTCTTATCTTAAATAAGTCACCAACCATTTAATAATGTGGAAAATGTAACCCAGACTACAAATTCATTTTGTTAAGCAAAGAGAAATGAAAGAAATGAAGCTGTTTCAAGATAGCTTCCTCATGCAGAGGAAAATATTTCTTTTTTATTAGCTCCATCTGATGGTTGGTTTGGTGTTTACACACTGCCTGGCTATAAATTCCCAATAATTTTATTGGTTTTTTCTTCCTCTCTTCTCTCAGAAAGACCTGCTATATTGAGAAGAGGTTGCTTAACTGATTATGTACCTAATTAGTTTACTGAATTTTGCAAAGCATTTACTATTATAAAGAATGTTCAAGCTAATCTTGTCAGTTTTTTTCCTTTAAAGTGAGAAGCATAAATATCAGAGATTACAATGGTGTAAAATTAAAAATATGAAACCATTGCTGATACTTTTCTGTATGTACATCTGCAAATATAACTCTCGGATAAGCATAGCCTGCCCTTTGCCTAATTTATGTTGAGCATGTACATATGATAACAAATTTTAAGCACATAAAAGTGACTTTATGTTTCTCATTTATATTTTATACTTACAGACTAGTTTGGCAAAAACCTACTTATATACCATCCTAATATTATGTAATATGAGCATACATGCTTGAAAGTGCAGTTTTTCCAATGCAGAAAAAAATAACTTAGGGTTTAAATATATTTGAAATGCAGGGTGGGGCAAAAGTAGGATTACAGTTGTTGTTATGGAAAATAATACAATAATTAATCAATAATAATACAAGAATAAACTCTGTTTTACATACTCACAACTGTAAACTTACTTTTGTCCCACCCAGTATTATCTCAGTTGAAAGATTCCCAAAAAAGTAAATGAAGGAAAATACTATACCTCAGCATCATATTCCCATAACTGATTTCCTCTCATGTGGTGGCATTTTAACATGATTACAGGTCCATTGAGTCTAGAAACATCCAAGCACAAGTCATCGGTTCGGATTTCTTTGTCAGCGGTATAAGAAAATACCTGAAAATATAAAATTCAGCTAATAAAATAATATCTTCTTAAAAACAAAAAGTCACAGCATAGCAGGTTTATCTGTGAAAATTTTCACATCAAACGAACTTCTCAAATGATCTCTGCTGTGTGATCTTGAGAAGCTAGTTTATCTCTCCAAGTCCTTTTCCTCAACTGCATAATAGGGACAGTGTCACATGTTTTATAAGGTTTTTGTGAAGTTTCAATTTAACAAACTAAATTATGAAATGCTTATTATTTGCTGGCACCATTTTTCCTGAACTATATTTGCCTTATAAAGCGCACACAGGTTCAACAAAATAAAGTTTGTAAATTGCATGGAGCTCAATAAAAGGCAGTCCTTGTTCCCACCACCATATGCCCAATTCCTCACTTAGAGACAATGATATTTCTATAAAGCACTTTAAATCTTTCTTTTCATAACAAAAGTACATCATGTAAATTAATATTGTTATTAAATATTGTTAGTGAATCTGTGAAGGTGGTAGAATTATCCTCTCTAGGGAGCTCAATAAAAGTAGGTTCTATGCTTATCTTTCTCATGTAGTTTGGGCTGGGCTTGACTACAATTCTCAAAATATCCAAGAAATGTCAAGGTGGATTGTAGACTCATTGTTAGCTAATTCTAACTGATGCTATATAATCTCTATTGCTTTGTTCCTGGTGTGAATAATTTATTTATAAACATTGATTATTAAAGTTTTATGAGAGTTACTAAGTTGTTTTCTTCCACTGGCTCTGATAAGCATGGTTCAGGATTCTGTGGGCATCTGTTTTTTCTCTTGCAATGTCCAGAAAGAGTATATAAGGAAGGTGATCTCAGGGTCTTTTTGTTTCCCAAAGCAATCTGATAAGATTGGAGGAAGTCAGCTCTACAAATCACTTATAAACTCTGGAGCCCTAGCCTTTAAGCTGAACAAGTTAGTCTTGAAAGGATTGCTGTTACAGTATTGCTACTCAGGATTTCTCTGAAAATCACAAGTCAGAAGAGGAACATGCAAAGTCAATGATGGAGCCCAAGAACCTCTTAAGCCAACATCTTCAAAGGAAATCAATCCTTCACAAAGGTTATACTTTCTACTCAACAGTATAAAAACTTGATAAGTGACATTCCTTTAATTGAACTATATCTTCCTTTGTAATCTGTTGGTCAAGTTATTTCTACAAACAACTAAGGCGGCAATTTTTATTCAATTATTATAAGTTCAGCTCTCACATGAGAAGTGAATGACTTTTGATTCCATTTTGTGGACCATGTTACTTATTTTTTCCAAGATTACTTTGATCCCTGTAACAACTCGGTTTTTATTACCTTCCACTGTATTAGTTTGCTAGGGCCACCATAACAGAGTAGCACATACTGGGTGGCTTAAACAATAGAAGTTCATTTTCTCAGAGTACTGGAGGCTGGAAGTCCAAGATCAAGATATCAACAGAATTGGTTTCTTCTGTGAACTTCTTTCCTTGGCTTATAGATGGCCATCTTCTCCCTGTATCTTCACATGGTCTTCCCTCTGTGCTTGTCTGTGTCCTAATTTCTTCTTATAAGGACAACAGTCCTATAAATTAAGGCTCATTCTAATGACCTCATTTTACCTTGATTACATCTTTAAAGATCCAAACTCTAAATATAGTCACATTTTGAGGCACTGAAATTACGACTTCAACAAGGAAATGCCTGTTGGGGAATTGGGGAGGGGGATGGGCACAGTTCAGCCCATAATACCTATCAACCCTTTAAAATGTATCAAAAGAGATCATGCATCTTTCCTTACCCCTTGATGAAAACTACTGGGTTTATTATTTTTCTTCTTACTTATCTAGATCCCCTGGGGATTCAATTCAGAAATTAGATTGGTCTGTTTAATATTATCAATTGAAACGCTGAGTGAAATATAATGGCAGATCGCCTCTCCTTCACTAAATTGGGCTGCTTTAGGTTGGAAGTCTGCAGTGGGACAGGGCAGCGTTGACTTCTCTATTTCACCTTCTTAAGTTTTTTGTTTGTCTGTTTGTTTGTTTTTGTGGAGGGTTTTTTGTTTTGTTTTTTGTGTTTGTTTGTTTTTTTTCATTCTTATCTCCCTTGCCCACTCCCAAATTCCTCCAGGCTTCTAATTAGCTTTTGATTCTTCCCGGTTGGTAAAAGTCTAGGAGAGGTCTTACCTGAACTGCCTCTTTATAGCTCCTTCCTGTTCTCTTGCCTGGCAAAATTTGATGCTCCCTCTCCTGACTGTCTGTGGTTCTTTCTAGATTCCCATCACTAAGTACTCTCACTGCAGTGCTAAGAGGACCACTTTCTATCGCTTGACAACTCAGAGAGGCAAGATGACCCAGGCAGGGCAGTCACTGTAATTCAGTTTCACGGCCAGCTTTGCCATGTGTGAGTCAGCTCACAGCCTGCCAAACCCCACCAGTATAAGAAGCACATAGAAAGCTCTCAGAGTGGGGTCCTACATAATTTGCAGGGGCCAATGCAAAATGAAAATGCAGGACCCATTGTTCAAAATTATTAAGACTTTCAAGATTACAGGGCCCTGTTCAAAGGCATGGATTGTACACCCATGAAACTGCCCCTGCCTTGAGTTCTCCTTTTCATAGCTTTGTCTCTGGAAACTGGCCCCATCCCTCTAGAGCAGTGGTTTTCAACCTTCCTAATGCCGCGACCCTTTAATACAGTTCCTCATGTTGTGGTGACCCCCAACCATAAAATTATTTTCGTTGCTACTTCATAACTGTAATTTTGCTACTGTTATGAATTGTAATGTAAATATCTGATATGCAGGATGTATTTTCATTGTTACAAATTGAACATAATTAAAGCATAGAGATTAATCACAAAAACAATATGTAATTATATATGTGTTTTCCGATGGTCTTAGGCGACCCCTGTGAAAGGGTCGTTCGACCCCCAAAGGGGTTGCGACCCACAGGTTGAGAACCGCTGCTCTAGAGGGAAGGCAACTACTCCCCTCATAGAATTCCTTACAGAGTTCTCCACCTTTTGAAACCTCCTGTCCTCCTGTTATGTGTTAAGTTGTCTCCCTGCAAAAGATGCACAAAAATCCTAAACCCCAATATCTCAGAATGTGAACTTATTTGGAAATAGGGCCATTGTAGAAGTAATTACTTAAGTTACCAGGAGGTCATACTGGAGTAGGGCAGACCCTTAAACCAAAATGACTGCCATCCTTATAAGAAGACAGAGACATGCAGAAAGAAGACAACAGACCTGTGGATCGGGAGATGGGCATTGGAGCCATGTGCCTACAAGCCATGGGAACTGCTGGTGAATTCCAGAATCTAGAAGAAGCAAGGAATGATCCTCCCTTACAGTCTTAGAAGGAATACGCCCCCTCTCACAATTTGATTATTGGCTTGTAGGCTTAAAAATTGTGAGACAATCAATTTCTGTTGTTTTAAACCATCCAGTTTGTGGTAGTTTGTTATGACAGCCCTAGGAATCTAACACAGTTCCTTTTGTAACTATGCAGGTTGGAGGGTCTAAAAATCATGGAGTCAATGTTCCAAACTGCCATTGCAAATTCTGCACACAGGGAAGTCTGGTTCTATATTTCATACCTATTGTATCTTAGTGTCTGGGATGATGATGATGACATCCAGTTATACTTTACAAAAGCATTGGAACAACCATTTTTATAATAATTTTTTCTATTTAAATATCTCTTCCCACAGTGACCTTTACTGTGACTAGGTGATTTATCTGCTTTTATGAATATTAACAAAGCTCAAATTTATTTGTGTTTCTTAATTGATGTCTTAAATGAGTTTAGCAATAATTTCTAATGTGTGAAGGATGGGAGCCAATTCCAACCACAATTCCTTTTAATGTTATTCTGATAATTTTTAAGTAAAGATAAGCATTTTCATTATTCTACATATGCATCTGGTTTGTTCTGGACTTTTCATTTCAGTTATGTCCAAAGGAATTTTATAATTATTCAAATATACACAATGAAGACAGCATTTAAACAATCTTCAAGGACTGCTATGAGAATGATCTTCTAAAATATTCTGCATGAAATTAATGCTTTATTTCACACAAGGAAAGATTGTGTCTATACATTCTTTTAAAAGTTTCATCATCCTTACAATGCTGATGTTGTATAGTTACTTCTTTAAAAATACGCCTTTATCTTTACTCCTCTGGGAAAATGCAAGCAAATATTTGCTTAGATTAGTAGCTTTAGCACAGCTTTCAAGCAGTGCAGGTTTCAAAGCAAAGTCACTGTTTCCTTATTTGGACCAAGGCTCCTTCAGCAAGAGGCTCAGGAACTACACGCCCTCTGCTGGCCCTGTCTTGCCATAGGACGTTTCTTTTATCCTTGGATGGAGAAATATTGTGCAATGTACACAATTGATTATATATAATCTCTCTTTAAAAGGTTCACGCATTTATTTTATTCAGCTTTATTATACAGGTTGGGATTTCCCTAGATTTCATTTTAATTTATAAAATAATTTTCCTGTTGAGTTCCTCAGAACAATATTTTCCATAAAGTTCAGTTTTAAGGGACTCTATCACTTTATGCCAACTGCTTCACTACTTAGGTGAAAACATCAAAGCCAACAAATTTACTGGATTCACGCAATTCACCAGAGCTGCTTAGTGATGGAGGACTCTCTGGACCCCAAGGTCATTGTCACTATTATTGTACTTGACTCGACTGCCCCTTTCACTCCCATCACTTAATCATTTTGGAGCTTTGGACCCTCTGGGGATCACTTTAGGTATTTGAAGTATGATCAATTTGAGAAATTTGTTAACAATCATCCAGAGAGAAAAAATATAAGAAAATAAACACTAGGTGTTTTTTGTTGTTTTTTTTTCCCCTCATTCTGTAAAAATAGCCCAGGAAAATTTCTATTGAAATGACAAGGAAAAACATTTAGCAACAAAAGTTAGAACTTTAGCATTGTGATTTTTCAAAATGCTCTCTTTTACTCTATGTCACACAATCCTGAAATCA